GAGAACGTATAGCCTTTTGCTGAGAATGAATTCCAGCTTCCACGGAAAAGAGTCCAGGTTATCCTACTAGAGAGACTATGTGGAGAGACTAAACTACTTGCTTCCACTGTTTTCTCAACTACCATGTTACCACATTTAGGGGTAGCAAGTACCAGGTAACAACAAAGTTTATAAATCTTCAGGTTTTTTTTTTTGTTGTTGTTGTTACTGTACGCGACAGTGATGGCAGCAATATCCTGTGCTCACTGTTCATCAGTGACTCTCCCTTGTTCAACTTAAGCTGGAAATTAAGAAAGATGCACTATCTCTCCACCTTGGTGCTAAAACCTATAACAGATGAAACAATTCATTCAATAGGCTGTGATCTATTTAGTTCCTCCAGACACATTGATCAGTTAGTCAAAACAATGCAGTAACCTTGTTTGTTATAGTCAATTATTGTCAATTGACTTTTGTCTCTGTGGGATCCTATTTTGTGTTCTCTGTGTTGCTTTGGAGCCTGTCCTGGAATTAACTCTGCAAACCAGGCTGGCCTCGAACTCAGAGATCTGCCTGCCTGCCTTTGTTTCCTGAGTTCTGGGATTAAAGGTATGTGCCACCACTATCCAGTCTTCTGTGAGATCCCATTATTCCACTGAAATCTGGGCTCTCAGTTCAGTGGCTGTATTGCTTACTATCAGTTGACCTACAGAAGACAGTCATCACAGAAGACTCTGTGAGCCTCTCATTAACTCATTTCTCAGTGCCTCAGCATGGGGAGCTGTGTCTGAATGCTCTTAGAGGCTACATCATTGGGGTTGAGGTGGATACACAGACCACAGATTACATAGCCACTCCAACATTGCAATTCTGCTAAGCCTTTGGATCTTACCCTCTGCATTATCCCAAGACAATTCTGGCAGTTAGCCTGACTGAATATTGGTTCCAGCTGGTTCACTTCAATCAGCGGACAACATAGACAACTCTAGCTTCAAAATTCTCCCATATCAGTACATTTTGTCCAGCTCACCATTTTATATTTTTTGCCTCTGGTCTAATGACCTTAAATCTCAATGTTACTTGAGTTTCTGTCATTAAAAATGAGCAAGATTCTGTACTTACTTTGGAGTATAAACTCTTTTCCTTCTGTACCAGACTTTGTAGTTGGTCCCACAGAACAAACTAAAACCTGCATCTAGATATAGTTCTAGGGGTGATGAGCAGACGTGGGTGTTCGAATTAGCTGCTTCAGACAAAGGCAGATAGGCAATCCCAAGATCTCAGCTTTGCCTGAGTCCAAGCAGAAGTCCCCACACCAAGGCTCAAAGTCTTTCTTGTAACTAATCACATTGACATATGAGGCTTATTGGCAAACAATACTATTTAAGTTGTAATTCTTACAAACTGGTGAAGCATTGGCAGCGACCACAGAAGCTGTTACTTTTTTTTTTTTTTTTAACTTTTGCCATTTTCTCAGGCTCTCTAGTTCATTCCAAAAGCATCACTGCTACTTGTTTCTGGTTCCCAGTGGGCTTCAGAAAGTTCTTCATCCCAACCAATCTCATGTGATTAAGCATGGGGACACAACATATCACAGACTTATCATATCCCATTGCCTTAATGAAAAAAATTGCTATTGTGTTCAAAACTAATGACATAATCAAATCAATCACTGAATCCCATATTGATGGGCTGTTCCCTACAACAGTGAACTAGCACAAGTAACTTCCAGTTACCATTCTAGGCACTGGTGAAACAAAAAGACCAGGGATTTGGATTTAGGCTATCAGACTTTGAGCTTTGAGAAAGACACCTGCAAAATTGGGACACAGGTCACTGAGGAGGCACTGCTGGTACTACTGGGGGTGCTTCTGGAATCTGTTAAAAAAAAGAATCAGGGATCAACAGTCACAACTTGGGCTGAAGAGCAACACTGTTAATTAAGCATAAGGGAACAGCAGGTATGGTGTCTCTTCTTTTGGTCATCCTCCCTCTAGTGGTCCACAGTGGTATAATAACGACCTAGCAGACACATGAATCAGAAAGTTAGAAGTATGAGGATTATATATGTGGATTTTAGACATAGAGTAAAAGAATACCAGCCTACAATCCACACTGCCAGAGAAGCTAGTAAACAAGGAGGACCCTAAGAGAGACATACATGGTCCCCTGGAGAAGGGGAAAGGGACAAGATCTCCTGAGCAAATTGGGAGCATGGGAGGAGGGGGGTGGAAGGAGCTAAGAGAATAAGGGGAGAAGAGGGTTGAGGACATGAGGGAGCAGAAAGGTTGAGTCAGGGGAAGAATAGAAGAAAACAAGAAAGGAGATACCATAATAGAGGGAGACATTTTAGGTTTACAGAGAAATCAGGCACTAGGGAAATGTCTGGAGACCTACAAAGATGACACCAACCAACAATCTAAGCAACAGAGGAGGGGCTATCTTAAATGCCCTCACCTGATAATGAAATTGATGACTGTCTTATATGCCATTCTATAGCCCTCAACCAGCAGCTGGTAGAAGTAGAAGCAGTTCAAGATAACTAATCTCTGAACTGAACTGGAATCCAGTAGCAGAGAAGAACGAGTGATGGACAAAGTGGTTCAGACCAGGCTGGTGAAACCCACAGAAACAGCTGACCTGAAAGAGGGGAGCTCTTGGTCTCCAGACTGATAGCTGGGATCCCAGCATGGGACTGATCCAGACCCCAGGAACATGGGTTTCAGTGAGGAAACCTC